CCGCAGCGCAGCCACCGCCCCCAGGCCCCTCGCAGGGTGGGGGTCCATGCCGCCCCGCGGAGAGCGCAGGCCGCGGGGTGCGTGGCCGGGAGAATGGGCATCGTCTGCGTCGCGTCGCGGGCGTCTGAGCCGGCAAAGGCTCCTCTCCTGGCACAGCAACACAGGGGCAGAAGGGCTGCCCCCCGAGATGGGGGTGCTGGGCACTCTGGGGGCCAGACGCAAACCAGATGGGGGCGTGGGAGGGCTGCCACTGGGAGGTGGGGGCAGAGCCCCCCCACCTGGAAGAAAGAGACCAGGCGGTGTGAGCCCCTTCCGCTGCCGCTGCCGGGGACAGAGGCCTGGCGGGCGGGGCTGTGGGGACATAAGGCCCCGGCCCTGCCCTCCTGCCTGGGTGGCAGGGTGCCCTGGGCGCTCGCCTGCCATCAGCACAGGGCTCCTGGGTCTTCCAGAAGGGGGTGGGGAAGCCCAGGCTCTGGGGGGCTGCAGCTGGGCCTCCCTCCAATTTTGTGGGTCTTGAGCACCCCAGGAGGGGTCAGGCCTGAGCTCTGCTGGGCTGGGTTGAATCTCAGCTGCAGCTCCCACTGCTGGGGGGCTGGGAGGAGATGGCTGGGGGCCTGGGGGCTGGGGGTGAGGTGTGGGGGCAGGATGCTGGAGGCAGGGACGTGGGGGGAGATGTCTGGGAGGCAGGGAGCGGGGGGCAGGCCTGGGACTGGGGGCAGAGGTGGGGGCAGAGGTCAGCCCGCATCTGCAGCAGGGGTCTGGGCCGCTCCCGCCGTGTGAGACAGCCTGTTGCTGGGCACACAGTCCCAGCCCAGTCTGGGCAGGGGAGTCCAGCCAGGGTGATGGGGTGTGCTGACTGTCCCTGCCCTCACCTGGACCCCGCTGGCCCCTGTAGCTGGGAGGGGGGCGCTGGCCCCCCCCAGTCAGCAGCCGGGGCCCACCCGCGTGACAGCTCACCCGTCTGGGGCTGCTGCTGACCTGGCTCAAGGCCCAATGCTGGGGGTCTCCGCAGACCCCTCCGGAGCTCAGGGTCGCAGCACGGCGGCGGGGCTGCCCGCCCTCTGTGGGGTGGCACCCCCTTCCCGAGGGGGTGTCAGAAGCCTGGCTCGTCCTGGCACTGGGCAGCCGCGCCTGCTGGGGTCTCCTGTCGGCGTGGCCGGGCCTCGTCCTGCCCCCCACCGTGGGCCAGGCAAGGAAGGAGCCCTGGACGCGTCACAGGAAGCGGGCGGCGGGGTGGGTGCTGGGTGGGGTGAGGGCAGGGAGGATGTGACTGCAGCCAGGAAGCTGCGGGGAAGGTCCTGATTCAAGCGCACAAACAAAAGCCGGGCCTGGCAGGCCGGCCATGCCCTGCACCGGCCCCTCCGAGGCGACCCCGGCGCCCGGGGTGCGGTGAGCCC